GCTGATGCTGAACAATGTGATTGGAGGAAGTCTGTTTGCAGAGACTTTATGGGCAGTTTCACTTGTGATTGGAGACTCGTGATTGGAGGAATGTTTGCAGAGTCAAGCTATTTCACTCGTGATTGGAGGCTAGAAATAGGAGGAAGCCTGTTTGCAGAGATAAAGTATGGGCAGTTTTGCAACAGTGCGGTTCTTTCCTGGGCTTACTTCCTTGCATAAGACGCCCTTCAATTTTTAGCGTAAGGATTTTAGAAAAAAGTGTCGTCTTATAGTCGGAAAAATACGGTAATTCCCCCCTTCGCCAAAATGGCAGATTCAGTTCAGTTCTTTTGTCCTTGATTGCTTTTTCCCCCTGGCCGGAGTCGCACCTTCGTTGGTTCTTTCTGTTGTGTGCAAAGCCAGGGTTTTCCTAATCGCACGCTGATTGCTTTGCCGCTCGCCACTGCTCAACCCTTTGTCCGCGGCGCTCGAGGCTAATGGGTGCCAATTCAAAACATCCACTCTATGGTTTCAATTAAGTGGTCCCAAATGGCCCATTAATCAGCTTGCAGTTTTCCCACTTCCCCTTTTCACTTTGCTTGCGCTCAGGCGGTGGAACGGACTCAGCGTGGCTGGGCAATTCCCTAGCCGTGTCATGCTGGCTGAATCTGACAGGAAGCTTGTATTAATTAGGAAAGTTGTGTTTTATTTTCAAATATAAAAAGCACAATTATTACACATAGCAGGATTTGGAGATCAATTGTGAGTCCCTAAATTATCTGTTTCTCATATACAACTTGAAATCTTTCAATATTCTATAACTTGGTTACGGAAAGAACAACAATGTTTTGTGCTGCAGAAATAGGACCATGACAAGGTTCATGAGTCATGCTAAATCATTGTTCACTGAATAAATCATACTGTACTTGGCTAATTTTCACAACACACTAAACTATAGAAACATGATTTACAAACTACTCTTCAAGTGGGTTAATATAATACACAGTAAGCTAGAATTAAACTCCTAACATTAGTGCCTAGTGCTGTATGAATTAGGCTGCAGCAATGCTATCTTAATGATCAAACTATATAATAAATTAATGCAACAGTTGCTTTTCAATCGGCTGTGTGTACAATATTTTAACCAGGCCTATTAAGACCTAATGGCTACATTTGAATGAAGTGTGAAGCTTGGTTAGTGTAAATGTGAGT